GGAGGAAGGGAGGGGGGAGGGGGAGGGGAGGGGGAGGGGAGGGGGAGGGAAAGGGGAGGGGAAGGGGAGGGGGGGGGAAGGAAGGAAGGAAGACCAAAATCAGTAATAAAAAAACAAAAGACAAAACAAAAAACACAAATCAAAAAAACATTAGCAAGGGCTGGGATTGTGGTTCAGCGGTAGAGTGCTCGCCTCGCACGGGTAGGACCCAGGTTCAATCCTCAGCACATAAAAATAAAGGCATTGTGTTAAAAAGAATAATAGATTAAAAACAAAATTAGCAAGCTAGGTGTGGTGGCTCATGCCTGTAATCCTAGCAGCTCAGGAGGCTGAGACAGGAGGATCAGAGTTCAAACCCAGCCTCAGCAATGGCAAGGTGCTGAGCAACTCAGTGAGACCCTGTCTCTACATAAAATACAAAATAGGGCTGGAGATGTGGCTCAGTGGTTGAGTGGCCCCAAGTTCAATCCGGGTACCAAAAAAAAAAAAAAAAATTAGAAAAACACCATAATCACCTACCACAAAACACTATTTGGGAGTCCAATAGGTCACCACCAAGAGTTTACTGTATTTATGGACAAAAACCCAGCTGCAGCCACCGTCTTATATATCCAGGATTTGAAGCAACCTTACAGTGTGCCTCCTTATGAGATCAGAGCAAGTAACGACCCACTTACACATGGGCATAACTCCCGGTGATCACCTCACTTTGGAGCCTCCAGGACCTTTTCAACTTTCATAATAAGAATAAGAAAGAACCCCGGAAATTTTTTTGCTTCAGTGGATTATGGAGACTGATATTTCCATGTTTAGAGATTAAAACCTGTAGGGTTTCAATGGTCTTTTCCAGTCTGAAAAATCTATAACTTCTGGCTTTTGAAGACCTCATCATATAACACTCATGGTATTCCATTCCTATTTCTTTCAACTCAGAATGATTAGGTTGTGGAGAGTGGTGATTTGAATCATGGTTTTTGATTGTCTCACAACAGGAGATGTACCTGTGCTGGGAACTTCCTGTGCAAAGGTACAGGTCAAGATTGCCCAGCTGTTATGGTGAGACCCTGCTAACAGAGGTTTTGTGCAAGGCACAGGACTATCAGTCTTGACCCTGAGTTCAGACAGCAGCTGTCAGGCGTAGAGAATTATGAGCACAAAAAAGCTAATTATAATTGGACTTCATCCTTCAGCCTGCCTCCTTTGAAGAAACTTTCTCACAGAAAACCCTTTTGATGATAAAACCTATATAATAAACATGCTGAGCTAGCTCTGGGTCACTGCTCCTCTATCAGAGGATGGTGTCCCACCTGGTTCCAGTTTTCTCTCCCTGTGCCTGTCTTTTCTAATCCCCCATCACCCCTTACCACAGTCGGTTTCTGAATAAACAGCCATGCAGGTCATGGCAATTGGTGTCAAAGAGATGGTAGTACTTCACTTATAATCTTGATACTGTAACAAAATGCTCTGGTCCTAAGACACTCTAGAGCTTGGCATTAACACCTATGGAGTTGAGAAGGAGAGCACATTTGTCATCATTTCCCCATAAAGTTTCCATCAGATTTCTCATTAGAAACCCTGGATTGCAAATGGCAGTGGGTTGATATATTCAAAGCAATAAAGGATAAAATATGGAAGCTGAGAATACCAGAACCAGTGAAAGTATTCTTCCCATCAGGGGAGGAAATGGTAGCATTCATAGATATTTAGGTCCCTTCCTGCTGCTATTAAAAAAAAAACAACAACAAAAAAAAAAACAACTTAAACTGGTATTTATTAATAATAATAAATATTAATTTATTAACAATAGAAATCGACTTCCCATAGCTCTGGAGAGTGGCAAATCCAAGGTCAAAGCACCTTGAAGCTATATCCTCCTCACACGATGAAAGGGGTAGAAGGATTGAACTCATTCCCTCAAGCTGCCCTCCCCGCCCCCCAACTTTTTTTTTTCCTTCCTCTTTTGACATACTGGTAATTGAACCTACATCCTCAGGCAAGTACTCTACCAATGAGGTACATCCCCAGTCCTTTTTATTTTGAGACAGTTCACTAAGTTGCTCAGGCTGGGCTTGAACACGTGCTTTAGTTTTCAGAGTTGAGAGGATTATAGCTTGTTATGGTTTGGATATAAGGTGTCCTCCCAAAATCCCATGTGTTAATACAGGAATATTCAGAGGTAAAGTGAATGGACTGTGAGAACTTTAAACTAATCAGTCCATACTAGGTTGAATGGACTGATTGGCTGGCAATGGTTGGCAAATGAGGCATGGCTGAAGGAGATGAGTCACTGATGTCGTCTCTTTGAAGGCTACTTTGTCCCTCTCTTCTCTGTCTCTCTTTTGCTGCCCTGAAGTGAGCAGCTTTCCTCCACTGGGTCCTTCTCTCATGACAAACTACCTCATCTTGGGCCCAGAGAACTAGAACCAGACATTTATGCACTGAGACCTCAGAAACTGCATCCCCCAGATAAATTTTTCCTCCTATAAGTTGTTTCTGTCAGGTATCTTGGCCACAGTGGTGAAAAAGCTGATTAAAACATGGCCATACGCCATTAACACCCAGCCTGACAGATGTACTTTTGTACGTGTTCTGGTCTTGTGCATGCCATCCATGGGATTGGAGCCTTGAGACCTAACCACCTATTGAAGGCCCACCTCTTAACACTGTTACATTAAGGCTAAAATGTCAACAGGAATTTTGGAAATAAATACACATTCAAACCACAGTACTGATAAACAAGAGCTCAGGGTGCTGATTTTCACTAGATGCACCCTGTGTGAGGGGAATCCTTCAGACTGAATGAATATTAGATAGGAATGAGATCTTGATAAGGACATAAAGACATCTGGTAAAGCAAATTTCATAAAAACTATAAAAACTAGTGCTATTTGTTTTCTAAAAGATGGAGGAGAATAATGTAACAGAAAAACCCAATTTTATTCCATGGTATTGAACACACAATGCCGACACATGTAACACTATGACATCAGTAACTGAGATGTGGGGTCAGAGAAATAAGGCAGTAGGATTCAATATAATACTGAAGTTATGCTGCTCTAGATTCACATCAGAGCAGTATCTTCTTCTCATATTAAATATAATTCCCAAATGGGAATCACAAAGAAATACCTACAGAACACACTCACTCACTCAAAGCTTGCCCTGCTCTCTCTATAAGGATGCAACCACACGGAACCATGAGCTCATCCTATTCCCTTATAATCTCAGCTTAGGCAATAACATCATAATTATGCCATTTCTGGACCCCCCCCCCCAAAAAAAAGGCCTTCTTCCTTCCTGTGAAGTCAGAAGCTACACATATCTTTTGGAGGAAATAATTTAATCCATATACTCTCTAGTTCTATTTTTCTGAGTTTTTATCAATGTGTGTTGAATTATGTCATATGATTTCTCTACATCAATCCATATATTCATATGACTTCCTTTGCTTGTTAATAACGAACTTTAGAACTTGAAGAGCGTCTTTAGGCCTTGAAGAGAGGGCGTGTGAACTTGAATACTAAGTATGTAATAAAGGTAAAAAATAAAAGATCATGATCAGAATATACAGGATCTCTGAGAAAGCATCAAGAGAACAAACCTGAGAGTTAATTGCATAGAAGAGGATGTGGAGATAGAGGCTAAAGGCATTAGGAACATTTTTAATGAAATAGTAACAAAACTTTTCCCATATCTGAAATGATACACATCCACATACAGGAGATATATGGGACCCCACACAGACAAGATCATAACAAAACCTCATAAAAAAACAAGATACATCATAAAGCAAAATGCCAAACATTGAAAATAATGTATGAATACTCAAAGCAGCCAGGGAAAAACATCAGGTCACATGTAGAGGCAAGCTACCAAGCCAGCACAACAAAGAATACTCAATGTAACAATGCACAGTTACCCAAAAATAAACCCCAATGCTCCCAAATCAAAGAAGATCACTAGAAGAGCATCCACTTAAATGAAAATTAAGACAGAATATAATTATCAAACAAACCAAATTGGCAGGCAACTACAACATACATCCATAATAACACTGAATATAAATGGCCTCAACTTCCCAATTAATTAAAAGATACAGATAGCAGAATGGATTGAAAAATAAGACCCAATTGTATGCTGTTTGCAACAGACTCATCTTGTTGGCAAAGATACCCACAGGCTGACAGGTTAAAAAAATGGAACAAATAAAATATTCCATGTAAATGTCATCTCAAAACAAGCTAAGTTGCTAGTCTATTTATCTGACAAAGTAAACTTTTAGCAAAAATTAATATGAAGAAGAAGAGACGAAGAAGGCCACTATATTCTGGTAAAGGGAACACTCTAATAAGAAGATATAATGGTAATAAATATATATGCCCCAAATGTCAGTATACCTGATTATATTAAAAATTATTCTTGACATTAAATCCCAGATAGACCCCAATATGATAGCACCAGATGATTTCAACACACTCTTACCACCAATGGACAGATTATCAAAGCATGTAATCAATAAGTATATGGCAAACCTAAGTAATACTATAAATCAAACAGATCTCATAGACATCTACAGAATATCTTACCCCACAACAGCTGAATTTACCTTCTCACCAGCTCATGGAACCTTTTCTATACCACAACACATTCTAGGTCAGAATGTAAGTCTTATCAAATCCTCAAAAACTGATTATGATTAAATAGGATGCATGGGATTATAATGTAAGGAAACTAGAAGTCAACAGAAAAAAATAATAGAACCCACATAAACATATGGAGATTGAACAATATTCTTTTTAAGGAGAAATGAGAGATGAAATAAAAAAACTCTTAGAAACAAATGAAAACAGGAATGCAACGTATCAAAATCTCTGGGA